ATGCACCCATTTGTCTGCAGCGGTTGTGTCGGGAAGGTGAGCATCATAGAATGCCAATTTAAAAGAAGAAAGTGTTCTTGCATTGAGGGAATGCTTGAGTGGAGGCCCAATGTCACCAGGGCACTTTCACCACTGAGTCATCAGGGTGTATTTCAATCATATGGAATACTGTCTTTACTTGAAATATTTTATAATTGTATTTTATATTCTTACAGGTATTTGTATAAGTATATTTTATATTCTTTATGACTGGATTTCTGATTTTAATGTGGCTACAAATACCCTTATATATCCTTATTCGGCTCTGATTGTTTCCTTAGGATAAATTTCTAGAATAAAATGGCAAGGCTCAAAGATTTATCCAACAACATCTTACTCAACAATAGATGATACACCAAATTAAGATAATACAAGAAAGGTTTATTTATAAAGCATCTAATTGATAGTGGTACAGCAGATTATAGATAAACCACAAGGGAATCCAGGGTATCAGCATATGAGCTACAATCCTCACAGGCCCCAAAGGACAAAGGGAGGGGCTGACTGAAGGAGTCCCAAGGACAGAGTGAGGAGGAAACCAGGAGCCCTATTGGTGCTGTGGATTAGGTACAGGGCTGCTTGCTGCAAGGTCAGCGGATCAAAGCCACCAGCTACTTCTCTGAAGAAAAATGAGGTTGTTTAGTAGAGGGGCATTGAAAAAGGAGGCCCCCATCAAGATGGATTGATACGGTGGCTGCAACAATGGGTTTGAACAGAAGAATACTTAGGAGGAGGGTGCAGGAGCAGGCAATGTTTCATTTAGTTGTACACAAGGTCTCTGTGAGTCGGATCTGACTCAATGAGCCCTAACAGCAAACAGCTGCTCCTGTGGAGAGTTTACCATTTGGAAACTTTAAGTCGCGTCTCTGTGACGTAATGGATTTTGGTCCCTTCCAACACTCCTTTTAGCTCCCGCCAGAGGAATTTTCTAAAACTTTTGTTAAGTGTTTTCAAGTGACACTTCAAAAAGGTTGCTTCCGGGTACATACCTACAAGAAATGGAATGCATACAATTAACAAAGCAACCCTTTTATTGTGAATTAGGTGGGGATTTACATTATCATCATTTTTTGTATTCTACAACTTTATTTACACCCTCCTATAAGCTTGCCCTTCCCTCCCGTTTTTTTTCCCCTCCATCTTCTTTTTATTGGCTATTATCTTCCCTTTCACCAAATCAATGCCTGTCGACCCTCTACCTTTTTACAGCCCTTCCCTCCCTCCCTTCCCATCCCAACTTTGGTAACCATCAAAGTAGGTTTCTTTTGGTATGATCACCTTTATCTTAATTTTTTTAATAGCTAGTTTCATACAATTATATGCCCTTTTGTACTAAACTAACTTCACTCAGCAGACTGCCCTCCAAATCTCTCCATGCTGTGTGTGAGGCGTTTCACAGTCTTTAGTGGTGCATAGGATTCAATTGTGGGTGTGGGCCAATGTTAGTTCCACCTTCTTCCACTGAAAGGGCATCTTCTTGCTACGGCGAATAGTGCTGCAGTGAACATGAGTGTGCCTGTATGTGCTTGTGCTCTGTTCCTTTCTTTAGGGTATATATTGAGTAGACAGATTTCAGGGTTGATATTTCCATTCCCAGTTGTCTAAGAAGCTTCACCAGACTTTCCAAAGTTGCCCTAATATACAGTCCCATCAGTGTATATAAGAGTTCCAGTCTCTCTGTGCCCTTTCCAGCATCTGTTGGTTTCTGCTTTTATGAACTTTGCCATCAGTGCTAGAGGGAGATGGTATTTCACTGTTTTGATTTGCATCTCTTAGATGGCTAGTGGGAGAGAGCATTCCTTCATATGGTTTTGCCCACGTGAATGTACTTGTTGGTAAATTCTCTGTTTATGTCCTCTGCCATTATTTCGTTGGGGTAGGCATGTTTTTCTCACTGAGGTGTTGAAGTTTTGAAAAAGATTTTAGAGATTAGTCCCTTGTCCAGTATATATCATTGCTCAGAATTTGCTGTCAGTCTGAAAATTTTGTTATTCTTATAAATCATTTTATTGGGGGCTCTTACAGCTCTTATAACAATCCATACATCAATCGTATCAAGCACATTTGTACAAATGTTGCCATCATTATTTTCAAGACATTTCTTTCCACTTGAGCCCTTGGTATCAGCTCCTCTTTTATCCCTCCCTCACCCACCCTCCCACACTCGTGACCCCTTGATGAATTATAAATTATTATTATTTTCACATCTTACACCAACCACTGTCTCCCTTCACCCATGCTTCTGCTGTTCGCCCCCCTCCAGTGGGGGGCAGGGGCTGGTTATACATTGATCGTTGTGATTGGTTCCTCCTTTTTCCCCATTTCCCCTCACCTACCCTCGTGGTATTGCTACCCCCATTACTGTTCCTGAGGGGTTTGTCAGACCTGGATTCTGTGTGTCGAGAGCTCTTATCTGTATCGTTTTGTACATGCTCTGGTCTAGCCTGATTTGTAAGGTAGAACTGGGGTCACGATAGTGTGGTGGGCAGGAAGTATTAAAGAAGTAGAGCAATGTTGTGTGTTTCATCAGTGCTATACTGCACCCTGGCTGACGGTCCCTTCCTTGTGACCCTTCTGTGAGGGGATGTTTAATTGTCTGCAGATGGGCTTTGGGTCTCTACTCTGATCCTCCTGGTTCACATTGATATGATTGTTGGTTTTGGGTCTTCTGATGCCTGATACCTGACCCCGTCGACACCTCGTGATCACACAGGTTGATGTGATTCTTCCATGTGGACTTTGTTGCTTCCCTGCTAAATGGCTACTTGTTTAACTTCGAGTCTTTAAGACCCCAGACACTGTATCTTCTAATAGCTGGGCACCATCAGCTCTCTTCACCACGTTTGTTAATGCACACTTTTTGTCTTTAGTGATCGTGTTGGGAAGGTGAGCAACACAGAAGTCCAGGTTATTAGAACAAAAAAGTGTCCTTGCATTGAGGGAGGACTTGAGTAGAGGTCCAATGTCCATCTGCTACCTTGATACTTAACATATAAATACATGTACATAGACCTATATTACTATCATTATATATCAATATATTTACATATATACATGCCTATATTTATACCTGTATAAATGTCTTTTGCCTCCTAGTTTTTCCTCTATTGCCTTTTACTTTCCTCCCAGCCCGCTATCATGTTCAACCTTCATTTGGCTCTCAGTAATTCCTCTCGGCTACGCAGTTGATCAAACCCTACCAGGCATTCTATACGCTACTCACCATCCATTTTAGATCTCTTATTATTCCCTTGTCCCTGGGTTTGTTGGCTCTCCCCTTCCTTTCCCCCACCTCCCCTCCCCCCTGTCCCCCTAGAACTGTCGGTCCCATTGTTTTCTCCTTAGAATTGTTTATCTTGTCTATATCTTATATCTATATAGATATAGATATGAAAAAAGAAGGAAAAAAGGGGATTATA